TAACCTGCTTTAACTGGCCTTAACAAAAACACTTATGCCCCAGCTAATATGTGACCAGACTGAGGCCTTTGTTGTCCTTGAAACCGAATCTCGGGAAGACCTTATCTTTTAACAGTCTAGTAACAGGCTGGAGCAGATCCAAGACAACCTGGGCTCAGAAAAAGTTAAATGATTAGACTGAGGACATCTAGTGGCAGAAAAAAAATACAGGTGAAATCTCTGAATAGAAGGTGAATATTGCATCACAAATCTTTTGTTTAACTTTTTAATGGGCTATTCATTTTAATCTTGTTACTTTTGGCTGCAGTTCAGCTATATCAGTTTGCTCTGACGGTTTTGATTTCAAGGTGCAAACGCCAATAATTGGCATGAAAAGATACAAGGGACTAACTGCCCTTTGCTGTTCACAGGTACAAAGTCCTCTGGTCTCTGGAAACACAAAATCATACTTGAATTTCTCTTCGGGATCTGTAATGCACATATAATATGTATTCCAGCTTCCATTAATCTGAATCCCCTGCAGTGTTAAGAATCAATTTAAGAAAAACAAGTGTTGCTTTTTTCTATCATCTGACAGCAAACACAGAGTGGTGCAACAAAACCCCATCTGATGCCTCCAAAACTGCTGAATACAGTGAAATATTCACGATGCATCATGAACAGTGCGATCAATTTGCCAAGTGACAATATTTTACATATGTATAGAATGTAACTTTCAAGGCTATTTTTTGTTAAACGATTTAAAAGAGAAGTATGGCCAAAGCTTGTGTGGTCACAATCCTCTTGTAGGTCACAGGAGTGAATTCACTTTTGCACAACTGTGACCTAGAATCAGCGAACCGCGTCAGCGGATGTCATAGCCAATCCAGTCTCTGGATGTATCCCGACAGTCTCTGGATCCATCCAGATGCCAGCTGCTCCTGAACCCCCACCACTACCAACCAGTGCTCCAGTGAGAGTTTTGCTCAAAGTAGACTGCAAAACTAAGTGATTAACGATCAAATGATCGCTTCGTTGTCGGGCTTAGAGCCGGACAAAGACAGCTACAGCATTGGATGGATGCTGCAATCTTACAGGCGAGTATAGATAATAGTTTTATTCCCGCACCCGTCCACTAGGGGTACCTTGCCCAAAGCCTCGCTCATCAATGCCCGGGACTAGGCAGGAATTGAGATCATGAGATGAGCTGACACTACATGTAGAATGAAGCCGCGTTTCAGATAAAGTGTTGTTCCATAGGTCTACATTCAGTGACTAGTATGTGCTGCATTCGGAGTGGCCAGTAGAGCCACACCACCTCCACCAGCCATTGTACCGCTATTACCTCACTCGCAGTAACAGAATGGGATCCTTCTGGAACATAGTATGGACTCCTTGTGTATCCTGTGTTGACTCTTGCTCTTCCATACCGTGCACTTAGGCTGAGGATCTCCGTAATGCTGGTCTACTCCTGGTTGCTATAGGCCATGGATCCCTAGGGAGGGAACCCAGATAGCTACTCCCTTGCTACTGGAGGATGCCTCACCTTACCCAGGTACCTCAAATGGTTGCTTGGTGTTTGAATGTTCGCTTAGTTACCCTTGGCAATGACTTTGTTCTTGTTTAGCATACTGACTTGACACTGTAGATTCTCCATACCTCTCAAGTGCTATTACATGTTCTTCACAAGCCCCCTTATGTACATCTTTTGACAAACTTCAGACCAAGCTCAAGGCAGGGGCGGACTGACCATTTAGAAACTCGGGCACTGCCCGAGGGCCCGGGGTCAGTAGGGGGCCCCATGAGATGCCCCTGGTACCTTTTTCATAGGCTTTTTTGAGTTTGGGCAAGGACACAGGGCCCCATGATCCCCATGAGTTGTCAGTCTGCCCCTGGCTCAAGGACAAAGTTTTGACAGTCTTTACTGATCGGTTCAGTGCAAACATGTTACACAGGAATGGTTATTTTCCTACACCTAATTAAAAAATGACCCAAGCATACCTTACAGGTGATAGTTCATTGAAAAAGAGTCCAGAAATGGTGACAAGAGTCCAAAGATGGTGTCGCGGGATCTGCGGTACAAAGACTGACAACTTGGACTACTCTAGGATCAGGGAGAGCAGCACAATAGGGGAATTCTCAGAGGGCTTTGCACAGGTATTGCAGGACTCTCGGGCCACAGTCTTTGCCCAATTTTTACCACAGGTGGGCTGGCTGAAGCTCCAAATGCGCCCACACTGGGAACTGAGATTAACCCCTTCCAATCCCAGCCTGGGCCAGTTCCTAACTCAGTGAGCAGTTTCAACCTGCTTAAAAGACTATCTTTAATGCAAATAATGGTGTGATGGTGGGGCTGAGCTGTAACAGCTGGAAGTGTCCTAACATCCTAGAACAAGGCAGGATAGGATGATATTATTTCTTGGACATTTTCAGACAAGCTTCAGGAGCTACGTAAATGGCCTGTACCAATAGGAAGGGCATTATCCAACTTTAGTCAAAGTCACAAAATTAGTTTTTATTGACACGTGCCCTAACCTGCATAGGCAGGAATTTTTGGAAAAGGTGAAGTAACCTTTTAAAAATAATATTCATATTAATATTGGCTAGGCAGCACAGCTACTAAATGGTTAGCACTTCCACCTGGCAGCACTAGGGTTGTTGGTTCAATCCCAACCACAGCACCACCTGCCTGGAGTTTGCATGTACTTCCTGTGCCTGCGTAGGTTTCCTCCGGGTACTCTGGTTTCCTCCCACCCTCCAAAGACATGCTGGTAGGTTAATTGGCTCTGGTCTAAACTGAGTGTATGAATGGGAGTTAGAGCCGATCACACATGTGCAGTGTAAATTGAAGCTCAGGTTTCACAGCTAATTGACTCAGCAGTTGAACAGATGTTCAGATCAGATTCGGGTCAGGATTTTTATCATATTCACACTTGTGCAGTTTAGAAACAGTTCCTGTAAAAATCAATAGCCTGTAATCTGCACATGAATTGGACAGCACTCTTTTTCAATCCACACTGAACCCGCACTGCCAGTGCACCAAACATATGTGAACAGGCACCATAGGAAGCAATGTTATTTCACATGTCCTGGGGATTGGATGAGGTTCAAACTGCATCCAATCTGCATATATGTGAACAGGCACTTAGGGACTTTAGATTGTACACTCCTTGAAGGTTACAGACTGATGTGAATGTACAATAAAAAGTGCTGCGTAAATTGATGGCGCTATACAAGTACCTGTAATTAATACTTGGGATGTGACCTCATGACCTCTGGATTGCAAGATGTGACTAACCATTATAGGGCAGCCATGTCCTGCCAGCAGAGGAGAATGTAAACCAAAGTTTATTACACAGCAGGATGCTTGTGAATAACTCATTAGATATTTAACAGATTTTGGTATTTATAATCCTGTTACAAACTGTTCATCTTGTCAACTACAAAAATCTGGAAGAAGAATTGTGTAGCTTACTTTTTCCCCACTGCTGCCAAATCCTCTTCAGGACACAGCTTTCCATGCTCATATCTGATGTAACTCAGGCCAGCTCCTGTCTGTGTCCTTTCTGCATGTTAGTAGGCAGCGATCTTAGGCGAAGCAGTGTCCAATTTGAGTTCATTCCAGAAAGGCAACCCTCCAGGTTCTTTTTTTATGTATATTATATAAAAGGAAAGAAGTATACGAAAGCTCAAAATTCCAAGATGGGAAGAATTACCGTATTTCTCGCTCCATAAGACGCACTTTTTTCCCCCCAAAAAAGGGGGGAAAATGTCAGTGCGTCTTATGGAGCGAATATAAAGCGACCGGTCCGGTATTTTTGCGGCCACCATGTCAGAATACCGGGCCGGCCGCTCAGCTGTTCTCTCCTGCAGGGCCTTACCTGTTCCTCGCTCCAGCGCTGCACAGTCTTTCCGCGCTGGCTTCTGTGACAGCCGGGTGCCCACTGTGCATGTGCTGCGCTTTGTGAATGATCCGGTGTCTTCTGGGACACATGAAAGGTCCCAGAAGGCGCCGGGCCATTCACAAAGCGCAGCGCTTCTCGCACATGCGCAGTGGGCACCCGGCTGTCACAGAAGCCGGCCCAGGAAGAAGAGGGAAAGCAACTCCGCGGAAGTGGGAGCGGGTACCTGTCAAATTCAGGTACCCGCTCCCCCTCCCTCCCCAAAGGTCAGCAGTCTCTGGTCATCCCCTGCACTGTCTGCAGTCTCTGGTCATCCCCTGCACTGTCTGCAGTCTCTGGTCATCCCCTGCACTGTCTGCAGTCTCTGGTCATCCCCTGCACTGTCTGCAGTCTCTGGTCATCCCCTGCACTGTCTGCAGTCTCTGGTCATCCCCTGCACTGTCTGCAGTCTCTGGTCATTCCCTGCACTGTCAGCAGTCTCTGGTCATTCCCTGCACTGTCATCAGTCTCTGATCATTCCCTGTACTGTCAGCAGTCTCTGGTCATCACCTGCACTGTGTCAGCAGTCTCTGGTCATCACCTGCACTGTGTCCGCAGTCTCTGGTCATCACCTGCACTGTGTCCGCAGTCTCTGGTCATCCCCTGCACTGTCCGCAGTCTCTGGTCATCCCCTGCACTGTCCGCAGTCTCTGGTCATCCCCTGCACTGTCCGCAGTCTCTGGTCATCCCCTGCACTGTGTCCGCAGTCTCTGGTCATCCCCTGCACTGTCCGCAGTCTCTGGTCATCCCCTGCACTGTGTCCGCAGTCTCTGGTCATCACCTGCACTGTGTCCGCAGTCTCTGGTCATCACCTGCACTGTGTCCGCAGTCTCTGGTCATCCCCTGCACTGTCTGCAGTCTCTGGTCATCCCCTGCACTGTCTGCAGTCTCTGGTCATCCCCTGCACTGTCTGCAGTCTCTGGTCATCCCCTGCACTGTCTGCAGTCTCTGGTCATCCCCTGCACTGTCTGCAGTCTCTGGTCATCCCCTGCACTGTCTGCAGTCTCTGGTCATCCCCTGCACTGTCTGCAGTCTCTGGTCATCCCCTGCACTGTCTGCAGTCTCTGGTCATCCCCTGCACTGTCTGCAGTCTCTGGTCATCTCCTGCACTGTCTGCAGTCTCTGGTCATCCCCTGCACTGTCTGCAGTCTCTGGTCATCCCCTGCACTGTCTGCAGTCTCTGGTCATCCCCTGCACTGTCTGCAGTCTCTGGTCATTCCCTGCACTGTCAGCAGTCTCTGGTCATTCCCTGCACTGCACTGTCAGCAGTCTCTGATCATTCCCTGTACTGTCAGCAGTCTCTGGTCATCACCTGCACTGTGTCCGCAGTCTCTGGTCATTCCCTGTACTGTCTGCAGTCTCTGGTCATTCTCTGTACTGTGTCCGCAGTCTCTGGTCATCCCCTGCACTGTCCGCAGTCTCTGGTCATCCCCTGCACTGTCCGCAGTCTCTGGTCATCCCCTGCACTGTCCGCAGTCTCTGGTCATCACCCTGCACTGTGTCCGCAGTCTCTGGTCATCACCTGCACTGTGTCCGCAGTCTCTGGTCATCACCTGCACTGTGTCCGCAGTCTCTGGTCATCACCTGCACTGTGTCCGCAGTCTCTGGTCATCACCTGCACTGTGTCCGCAGTCTCTGGTCATCACCTGCACTGTGTCCGCAGTCTCTGGTCATCACCTGCACTGTGTCCGCAGTCTCTGGTCATCACCTGCACTGTGTCCGCAGTCTCTGGTCATCACCTGCACTGTGTCCGCAGTCTCTGGTCATCACCTGCACTGTGTCCGCAGTCTCTGGTCATCACCTGCACTGTGTCCGCAGTCTCTGGTCATCACCTGCACTGTGTCCGCAGTCTCTGGTCATCACCTGCACTGTGTCCGCAGTCTATGGTCATCTCCTGCACTGTGTCCGCAGTCTATGGTCATCTCCTGCACTGTGTCCGCAGTCTCGTCCGCTGTCTCTGGTCATCTCCTGCACTGTGTCCGCAGTCTCTGGTCATCCCCTGTACTGTCTGCAGTCTCTGGTCATCTCCTGTACTATGTCCGCAGTCTCTGGTCATCCCCTGTACTATGTCCGCAGTCTCTGGTCATCCCCTGTACTATGTCCGCAGTCTCTGGTCATCCCTGTACTATGTCCGCAGTCTCTGGTTATCTCCTGTACTATGTCCGCAGTCTCTGGTTATCTCCTGTACTATGTCCGCAGTCTCTGGTCATCTCCTGTACTGTGTCTGCAGTCCATTGGTTCAGAATATTTTTTTTTTCTTGTTTTTCACCTCTAAAACCTAGGTACGTCTTATGGTCAGGTGCGTCTTATGGAGCGAAAAATACGGTAGATACAACAGCAATGGCAGGGAACTTTTGGATGGACTGACCCTTTAATTACCATTTGATTCAAGTTGGGATTGGATGACAACTCATTGATAAAGAGGTTACTGCTTACAAAAATAAGTGGTTCACAAGAAACTTTTTTAGCTTTAGATGGGCTCAATACCAAGAGGTGGAGGTAAAAACACTAATAAGCCCCTGGTTTTTAGTTCACATCTTTATTTGCCAACCAATGGTTAGGTAATGGGTTCATTTTGACTCTTTCACACCGTTTGGAGATAAGTGATCTCATTCTTGTCATCTTTAATTTTTAAGGCTTAGTCCACCCAAACTGTTGTTTCAATTTTGGTAGATTCAGAGAGTTTAATTCCTACATTTCTAAGATCTCAAAGAAGCCTAGTAGTAAAATCTTTGCATTTCACATCTGTTGTTAGCACAGAATGTCTACCCTCCAAGTAATATCTTATTTATAATATATAAAGTGATAGAGAAAGGAGGAGGATAACTGAAAGGAAGGCTTAGAGGCAATAACAATGAACTTTTGGATGGACTGACCCTTTAAAGTTTTTTTAATTTTACCTACAGGTAAACTTATAATAAAGCTTACCTGTAGGTAAAATGAATATCTCCTAAATGTTCACTGTTTAGGAGATATTCTCTTTCCTAAAGCCGGCGCATGCGCTCTGAATGAATGGCCCGTGCCATTCCTTCAGAGCTGAGCGATGTCATTGCGGCCCGGGCTGTCAGACGGCTGGCGATCGCGAAACTAGAAGGACTGGGTGAAGATGGAAGCCTCTTCAGCAGTGACAGCACGCTGCTGGAGGGCTTTGTTTTAGGCTTGGTTCACATCTGTGCGAGTGGTGCCGATACGGGACCTGCACAAATTCCTGCAACCACACACACACACACACACACACACACACACACACACACACACAGGAATGCGGGACCTGTGGGCAGGTGCCATTAATTCTAATGGCACACCGCCCGCATTGGAAATCACAACCGTACTGGGAACCTCGGTTCCTGTGCGGGCTGCGATTTCCAAAGAAGTGCAGGGAGACTTCTTTCCTGTGTATCCCGGGGCATGGGAATCCATTCAAATGAATGGGCTCTCGTGCCCACACAAATTTGTGGCCCACATGGCCGCACATATGTGAACCTGGCGGTTTACTACCGCTTTAAAGATGAATTCCAGGCACAGTATATTTTTAGCTTGGACCAATGTAACTATGTAAACACCATACCTGACTGATGCCCTTGGAAACTGGAAATCCCTGAAGTAGACACCACTGCTCCAGACGTACTCCATTTTAAAGTGTTGCATATAAGGTATGTATTTACTCTGCGTAACATCTTTTATATTTTACAAATAAAAAAAAGGATATTATATTGTGTTTTTTGTTGCAAAAACCACCATTTTATGAAACAGAACCTCAGCTTAAAATAATACATATGTTTTGGGTTCTAAGTAATTTTTTAGTAAAAAATGCAGATTTTTACATTAGGAAATAGATGGAAAAGTATATTGTATTTTTTTTTAAACTCCTTGGCGCCGAGCGTATGCAAATATGCGGCCTCTCAGTGGCTGGGCCTTGGCACCGCATATTTGCATACCCAATGTAATCAAAACGTGCCGAGAACACGCACCCCACGGAAAGGTCCTAATTGCTACTTGTGGTCGGGAGCTTTCAGATCATGTGACAGTCATGACAGCCAATCACGGCGGTCAGATGACCATAACCCTGCCCCGTCTCCCAGCATTACAAACTCAAAGGGCCGGCGCCAAGGGGATAAACTTTTTTAATGGTTTTCTTCACTTACTTGCTGTTTTCCCAGTTCTAGGCAAATTATGTCATACATCCCAGGAGTCTTCAGAAGGGGAGGAGGGGTTTTCTCAGCTAAGCACACCCTCCTGCCTGAATGCCTGAGCTAAGGGCAGATGGATTCCATGAAGCAAATGCTACATGACTCGTTGGCTATTATTCAAAATGGTGATGACCATAAATGCTAGGGGGTGTTTTTCAAAGTGATATAACAGCAAAATAAAGCATGGAGACCTGGATGGATGGGTGAGTTTGCTTTGAGAATCGAAAAATGAATAATATAGCGTTTTTGGTTTGTAGTGCTTAGATGCAGTGCAGTTCTGCTTTTATCATTTTGTTCACGGTGGGTTTGGATGACTCTTTAGATAAAGCAGAAAATCCATAAAACAAACAAAAAAATAAATGACTTTGGTACCAAAACAAAAATAAAGGCCTGGTTGCAGCACCGCAAAGGAAAAGTTTACCCTCTCCAGAAGGAAATCGTAGCTACTTTTTAGAAGATGAAAGGTGGAAAGCCTATGTATACAAATAGGTGACTTTCAAAGCCTCTTTTAAAAAACATGGATCAAAGAAAGTAAGAGGACTACACAAAAAGGCAACACATAAACATGAATCTTGAAGAAGATATTTGTAACAAGTAATGAGAAAATCCCTTTGATCTTTTGGGCCTAGGAGGATTACATTTGAGAGATAAAAATACACAGAAAGCCTAATCTCAACATGAAACACTTTGTGACCAGAGGATGGTACCATAATCACAACAAAGAGGTACATCATAAAACAGAACATTACTCGCAACAAAACCTGAATAAATAAGGCCCCTTTGGAGTTTACATCACTACTATTAAACCTCCAGGCAAAACAAAACAATAATATCAATCACGTATTAATTTAATAAAATCATAGTTCCCAACTGTCCCTGATTTTGAGGGACTGTCCCTGATTTCGAACAATGTCCCTCATTAGTCCTCATTTTGGACTGATCTATATAGCTGTATATAAAATGCACTATTTGCCTTGCAAGTGTTTAAACCTTGCTAAACGGTGCTAACCATTCATCCAGTTTCTAAATTGTTTGCTACATACGTTTCCTAATAGATGTTGCCCGTTCCCATCTCAAAATGTGGGAGGTACGCAAAATCATTAACGTAAACCTAACCCTAACTTTGGAAATTCACATTGAATGTATGAAACAAAAAGTTTTGCTCAATAAAAACAAAACGTCAACATGCTCAGCAAAGCCAAAAGATGAATGCAGCTACAAAAGGTTACAAGCAAAGGATGACTTTTCTGCTGAAAGTCTGGCTCAGCCCTGCCTCTTCCTGCATCTCAATTCACCCTATTGGTCTTAAGATGATCAACAGTCTCACTCATCAAGCAGCAGTCCTTTCAACATTTCAAGGTGTGTTTTTTTTTCCTTTTAAATTTTTGTGCATTGTTTTAACGTCCTTTATTCTCAAAAGTCTTCAAGTATGAAGAAGGTACTATTCAGCTTCTATGCTTGTATGGATTTCTACACAGCTCAACTGTACACTTTTTTGTTTATGATGAATATTGTAATGCATATCTCAGTCTCCATTCACATGGACTTCCTATACTTGTTTAAAGTGGTTATAAAGGTTGCTTTTTTCATTAAAATAATAAACATGTCATACTTACCTGCTGTGTACAATGGTTTTGTACAGAGCAGCCCGATCCTCTTCTTCTCCGGTCCTGCAGCGGCGCTTCTAGCCCCTCCCCCTGATGAGTGCCCCCAGAGTAAGCTGCCGAGCCACCTGTGTCTATGGGATAGAGCCTGGCTCTACCCTAATCCCACTCCCTTCTCACTGGCTGTGATTGACAGCAGTGGGAGCCATATATCTCAGCCAATGAGGAGAGAGAAACCTGGGTGAGCCCTAGCTCTCGTGCACAGTCGATCGAGATTGGGCTAGTGTAATTATTAAAGCAAGGTTCATACCTAAGCGTTTTCCGCAGCATTTTGCAGAAACGCAGTACAATCCATTTAACATGATTTCCTATAGGACATGTTCACATCTCTGCGTTTTCACCTGGGGTGTTTATTGGAAAGGGACTTTGACTACAAAAAGTTGCATTTTTGATTTTATAGACTTCAATGGAAACGCTGCAGAAAAGCATGTAGTGCGTATTTGCCATGTTTTTGATGCGTTGTGTGCATGTGTGGCTAGCAACAAAAAAAAAAAAACGCAGCATCAGAAATGTGGCAAAAATGCAAACCGCAATGCAAAAACGGCTCAAAACGCAACCTGCATAGGTGTGAACCTAGCATCCATAGGGGTACTGTGGGGAGAGGGCAATTTTCAGCTGTGTGCCTGCTTTTCTT